GGCGCTGAATGGCTGAATGGACTGCTTAATCTGAGGGGTTTAAGGCTTTAGGGGCTTCGGGGCTTTGGGGCTTAGGGGTTTAGGGGTTTAGGGGCTTAGGGCTTAGGGGTTAAGGGGTTTAGGGTCTAGGGGTTTAAGGGTTTAGGGGATAGGGGCCTAGGGCTTAGGGGTTTAGGGTTTAGGGGTTTAGGGGGTTTGGGCTTTAGTGGTTTAGGGTTTAGGGTTTAGGGGTTTAGGGGGTTTGGGCTTTAGTGTTTAGGGGTTTAGGGTCTAGGGGTTTAGGGGTTAGCGGTTTAGGGCTTAGGGGTTTAGGGGCTTAGGGGTTTAGGGGTTTACGGCTGAGTGGTTTAGGGTTTAGGGGGTTTAGGGCTTTAGGGCTTTGGGGCTTAGGGGTTTCAAAATCGACACACCTGCACACGCCAAAAACTCAACCCCTGTACAATGCTGACCGAACCCTTTTGGAATCCCGTAAGAAACTTCATTGAGCGGTAGAACCCCGTCTTATGTTAAGAGCCTTCGTGAGCTCTGTAAGTGTTCCTTTTGAGCCCGTTAAGAACTGTTGCAGACCACGCTGAGCCAGCTCTTAGCACCTTAGAGCCATGGTAGAACCTCTACAGAACCCTTCAGAAACCCAAGTATATAACAATTCTTACAGACCCCGTTAAGTAATCTTTCGGGACGCGTTTAAGACCTGCACTAATACATTATAGACTTCTTGAAGACTGAAAAATGTTTAGGGGGTTAGGGGGTTAGGGGTTTAGGGGTTTAGGGTCTAGTTTAGGGCTTAGGGTTTTGGGTTTAGGGAACCGGGCACCCCGCATCGAGCCCCCTGAACAAGGCCCGGGCATCGTCTCCTCATCCGCCTCTGGCCAGGACTCCAGTTCCAGCCGGTACCTCGGAGCTCGCGGGGCTTCAGGGGTTTCAGGCCTCTCTCGGGGGGCTTTTGGGTTGAGGGTTTACGGGGCTTAGGGGGTTTAGGGGCTTTTGGGTCGAGGGTTTAGGGGGTTTAGGGGATTTAGGGGTTAAAGGTTTAGGGGTTTAGGGTTTAGGGCTTCAAGCCTCTAGAGGGGCTTTTGGGTCGAGGGTGTGGGGTTCTGGAATTGAGGAGTGTACACTGCATCAAAATAAGAAGAAGAAGATAAGAAGGATTCGACTCGATCGAGGTACAGTAAAACCCTAAACTTTGAAGCCTAAGCCCTGCCCTGATCGCTGCAGCTGCACTCTAAACCCCAAACCCTAAACCCCACCTGTACCCTAAAGAACCTACCTTTTCAGGGTTCCTTGTTATGATTTCTTTTTACAAGTCCTTAAAAAGGGAGGTTATTTGGGGTTAAGGTAAACCCTAAACCCTAAACCCCTAAACCCCAAAGCCCTAAACCCAAAGCCCTAAACCCTAAATAGACCCTAAACCCTAAACCCGAGGCCCTGAACTCTAAACCCCCTAAACCCGAACCCCTAAGCCTTAGCCTCTCGGAGTTTGCGACACTCGATGTTTCCAAGAGGAGTCTCCTGGGTTCTCCACACGGCTGCGTGACGAGGCCACCCGGTTGAGGTGTAGGGTTTAGGGTTTAGGGGTGTAGAGTTTAGGGTTTGGGGTTTAGGGGGTTTAGGGTTTAAGGTTTAGAAGCCATCGGCACAACAACTAAGATATCAGCAAGAGGTAAGTAAGATACCGATTTTGGGTGGGTTCGGCCCTCCTAAACCCTAAACCCTGATCTGAGGCTCGCACAGTTTTGCACTCACAAACACATCGGATGTGTCTCGGATCTTATAGTCGGGTGATATGCAGCAAGCAGTCTCCGTCTTGCAGTCCTCTGAGGTCTGAGGCCCTTTAAAATATTAGTATGATGATTGTAGCTGTATTGCTATGATGGACTGAGGACTGCAGGACTGCAAGACTGCAAGACCTGCAAAGACTGTGCATTGAATTATTTCATAAGATCGAGCCACTCTGCATAAGCACGGACTCTCCTTTTGAAGTGCACAAACTTCCTTTCCCACTCACGCTTGGAAAGGTTCTCCAAGCATCTAGGCGTCACAGGAGGATCACCGGGAGGAACAGATTGATGATCTCTGTTCATCTGAAGGAACTTTGCTCGTACATACTGCTCGGTCATCTTGAGAAGAATGATTACCCACTTGCGTTTTGCTTGTCGTTCACACTCCATCAGTACCCGTCGGTCGGGGGGACAGTCGTCCATGGGGCCTGGGTCCATGGCACAGCACACACAGTTGGGAACAGGATGTGTTGACTTTGAGCAGAAGCACACTGCGACAGTGGGTGAAAAAAACATCTACTACTATTGTACTATGTTCAGGGGTTGATTCAGGGGTGCTTGCCCGGAAAGTAGGCCCTGTACAGTCTAGCAGTCTTGCTGTCCCATAAGAAGCCACAGTAATGTAGAACCCGCAAAAAGCCATTCAGGCCCAAAGCCTTGTACACAGTCTAGCAGTTTTGCAGTCCACCAGTAAGCGCCCCTAAGCCTAGTTTATAGATATCGGTCCCTAGAATAACCTGGACTGCAAAACTGCAAGACTGTAGAACCAAGAGCCTCAGCAGGATCAACTTTTCAAGCCTCAACATTCACTGGCTTCGGAAGATGTTCAAGCCTTGTAGGCCTGATAGCTTATTGTTGTTAAGCACACAACCACCGACACAGGTTCAATTGATGGCTCAATAATTAAATTTAATTGTCAATTAAACCTGTGTCGGTGGCTGTGTGAAGCCCTTCATTCCCCTGTACACTTTAAGGCCATTGGCAGTCTGCAGTTTTCATCAGAACCCCAATTAGTTAGAGACTGCATGGGTCTGCAAAATACAGAATTAAGAATATGGGTTTACTGCAAGACTGCTAGACTGCATTCTCACAAGCACAAACTTTCGAAGCCGGTGCGACTTGAGGATTTCAGACTTCGGAGATCCATGGTCACACAGTTCTGCTAAGGAATAAGATAGCGCAGGACCTCCGAAGCCCCAAAACTACATGGGATTATGCAGTCGACAGTCTTGCAGTCCTCAGTCTTAGTTACGGGTCCCATCTTGTTTTATTTGTAATGGTTGGACTGCAAGACTGCAAGACTGCTTGGCCTTCCACTCGCATTGCATTCATGATGTCCTGCGCATTCTCAACCACACAACAAAAGTGTAAGGTAGACAGTAATTATCCACTGGACATCAGCTCTGAAGCCTCACGGCCCATCTTGAAGAAGCCATAATTCAAAACTTCGAAGCTCGAGGCCTGAGCAGTCCTCAGTCCTGCAGTTTTGTAACCCAATTAAACTAGTTCATATTTAATTACAGTTGTAACATAGGGGGCCCCTAATAGACTGCAGGACTGTAGACTGCTATACAAAACAGCCAAGCTTCTGCCGACTCATGGTGCTCACCGTGGTTCCACCGCTGGAGGCCGGGCCTCGGGGTTGGGTTTAAATTAGGGTTTAGGGGTTTAGGGTGTCTCACAAAGACACAGCCTCGGAACGAGGACGATGACGACAACGGACGACGAACCACAACGACGAAGCACACTTAAATCGAAACCCTAAATAACATAATACCCTAAACTTACTAAACCCTAAACTCTAAACCCTAAAACCCTAAAACCCTAAACCCCTAAACACTAAAACCCTAAAACCCTAAATTTAGGGTTTAGGGGTTCACGGTTTTCTGGCTCAAAGTCTCACAGAGACACAGCCTCGGAACGAGGACGATGACGACAAAGCACAATGACGAACCACGACGACGAACGACCAACAACGATGATGTGTGATGTCGAGGAACAACAGTTAATACCCTAAACCCTACATGCCCTTAAAAACCCTAAACCAAGGGCTCAAGAAGCTGCAGCTGTGCAGTTTCTTTCTGCGATGAAGAGATCCAAGGAATCGGAATCGGAAGTGCAGCGCTGAACAGCTTGTTGCTGACTTGACATTGAGTGTCAGCTTGCAGCCCAGAAAGGCACAAAATGCTTGGCATGCAAAGATAAAACACTGCTGGGATTGAATATTGTTGGTATTATGTTTAAATAACTGGAACCACCAAGTCACCAAGCTTGCCTCAGGGACTGCAAGACTGAGGACTGCAAGACTGCTGCTACTCACAACTTGGCAATGGAATCCTTGGAAACCCTGGCCTTGCACTTCATGACTGCCTGAGGCATCATGCCTTTGAGCTTGTTGGCCTGGTCATCATACTCCAAACAGAACATCACATCGAACTGTGTCAACTTGCTCAGGGCCACAAAACTGGACAGCTTTGCATGCGGCACAACTGGTGGTGGGAACTTGATGTTCGGGTCCTCAGAGGCCTCCTCGACAGACGGTTTCAGGCATGCCGGCTCAAGTGCAAGAACTTTCCACTCGACTGCATTACCATGGACTGTGCTTTCGCACGAGTGCAAGTGGATTCCAGCTTTCGGGAGACCTGCAACCAGCATGGCATTCATAATGTCCTTCACCTTGCCCGGTCTGAATCCAAACTGCTGGACACATTCTGGCAGGGATTTGCCAGCTTTGGCACGCAACAGCACCATGGACTCCTCCGACAGCTTGTAAGGGAACACAGCATCAGCAGCACTGGCCATCAGCTCTGAAGCCTCACGGCCTGTCTTGAAAAAACCATGCACCTGAAACTGACCTCCTTCCAGGAGGCAGTCTGCAAGACCCCGGACAAACAGGTCACCAGCCGCATTCACATAGAACTCGTGGGTCGTGATCCCTGGCACCTGGCATTTGCCCATGTTCTCGAGGTCAGAGGACTGCAAGACTGATGGCAACGCTGTCTCTGCAGTGTTGTCCGCCTGCAACCTGAGTCACAACACATGCAACAACACATGCATACTCTGGGTCATGCATGTTTCTGGATCACCAAATCATTGCCAACAAGTAACACTGCAACATCAGTTTCGGGACCACGTTTGGCTCGGATGACCTCTTGGGGGTTGAACTCCTGGTTGTGCTTCTCGAACAGCTGGGCCCACCCCAACCCTTTCCACACCTCACTGTCAGGAAGCAACATCTCCACACGCCTTAGCTTTGGTGACGGTTTCCCGGAGCCAGTGCAGCTCATTGTTGGATGTGGGCTGTGTCATCTCAAACACGTCCAGCTTCAGAACTGGAGGACTGCTGGACTGCAAGACTGGGCGCGACAGCAGGGAGGGTGGAAGTGTAACAGGATGGTACTCATTCCTGGCAATGGCTGCTTTGACATACTCAGTGAAGACTTCCTCCACATTTGCCACAATCTGATCCTTAGTCTGTGCGTTGCCAGCCCATGCGATCCCGACATAGGCAAACTTGGGGAAACTGCTGTTCTTGACAGCATTCAAATTGGCCACTGAAAGACTGAGCTCTGCATCGTACAATGACTCATCACGTATCAAGACTGTGTGCTTCTCTGTCAGCTTGGTGCCCTTCACAAGGGCGGTGATTACCTCTGACAGAAAGCCGGCACCGGAGTACCACTGCTTGCCTCAGTGTTGAAAAAAGATCACCCAATCAACCAAATCCTAGCCAAGACAGCCAACCCAGCACACAATATAAATTCTGCCCTGGTGCGCTCCAGGTCTTGGTCACCGTTTGTTTTGCCACCCGTCACAAAGGACATATCCTTGCTGAAGTTTTTCATGGACTGTCTCGGGAAACAAGTCACCAGCCCTGGAATTGCCTTCCGTTTCAGCAGGACAGAGGACTGGAAAACATTCGACTCTGCAGCTGCTGCTAGCACAATCCACAACTCAACACCAAGTGTTCGATCGTCACTGTACATCGACTCGTGATCGAAAAGTGCAGTGGCCTTCACAAGCTTGATCTCAGTGACACTTTCAATCTCAGACTTCCAGACAGCCTGGTGAGCCAAGACCTTGTCCTCACGTTCGGTCTTGGACAGCTTGCCCAAACCGAAAGCAACCTGGTTGGGTGGAATGACCAGGTAGACTGCAAGACTGCAAGACTGCTGGAGCTCCGAAGCCATGTGACCCACCATTGCCTTCACACATGATGATGCAGCGGAACCCAGCATGGGAATGTTCATCACAGTGATGACTGGAATCTGCTTCACATCCTGCATCAAACGGCTGGCCAGCGTCCTATGTGTTGCATGCTCGAATGCCTGCCCCATTCCCAATGTCTTGGTGGCACTGACCTGATAGTAGATCGCATGGTCGGCCCATGCACTTTCCACACCCTGTGCAATGGATTTCTGGTACTCAGCTTCGGCTGCCACAGTTTGCACCATGTGTCGCTGGGATGCAACACGATAGCCTCGCATCTCATCCTGCTCTCTCTTGAGGGACCTTGCAATGTTGGTGAGAGTGCGCACTTGCTCCAGTGCAGCTTCATCATCCATCAGGTCAGAGGACTGCAGGACTGCAAGACTGTTGACAGACTCTTCTTGCTGCATCCGGAGCCCCAAATCTGTCAAGCTGAAGTCCGGCCTCATGGCTACCACCTCGGGGAAGAGCTTCCCATCCAAATGTCCCAGGCGCCAATGGTGCATCATCTTGTCATACTCCTCCTGGGTCATGTCCTTCTTCATCTGGTCCTTGAAGTGCACCATGACACAGGCCATGAGGTAGACTTGGCTCTCTCGGCCAGAATCACGGAAGCCTCCACAGATGGATGCCTGATGAATCGGGGGAGGCTGCTGCCTGTCAACATACTCCTGGATCTTGCCATTCCACTTTACCTGCAGTCTGTGCAACACCTCCTCGATCTTCTCCCAAGAGAACTTGACAATTTCATGCCAGACCTTGAATCAATCACCCTGGAATAGTGATAATAACTACGTTTTAAGGCAGTAGTTGCTAGTGATAGTTGTACTAGCAGTAGTGGTGGTGGTGGTGGTGCTGGTGGTGGCGGTAGTAGTAGTAGTAGTGGTACTAGTCGTAGTAGTAGTAGTAGTAGTAGTAGTAGTAGTAGTAGTACTAGTTGTGGTGGTGGTAGTAGTAGTAGTAGTACTACTACTACTACTACTACTACTAGTTGTAAGGTACCAGAAACTGTTCAACAGGACTGCGGTGGTGGTTTTGGAATACAATGAAACTGTAGTCATCTGACACTGACTGAATGGAACTGAAAGCAGACTGAGATGAAACTTACTGGATAAGTCAGGACTGCAAGTGTGCCAGCCCTGAAATTTCACAATGCACATTGAATGCCTATTCAAGTCCAGGAACTGGGTTGGTAGTAGGTGAGACCTTGAGGTTGCCACTCAGCTGCTTGGTCGGGTTGAAGAACCTGGGCAGTTGCTTGGATGATTGTCTGGAATCCCACTTCAAAACATACAACCCACAACAACTACAAACCAAATTCGATCTTCAACTGAAAACCCTGGCTGGCAGACAAGAACACACACAAACTCTAACATTGATCAGGGAACGGCTGTGCAATACATGACAAGGGAACTGCAGTGTGATGCGGCGCTTCCGTTCCCCACACCAGCTTCAGCATCCGACGAACTGTCGGTGTTGCCAAATCATACACTTGAATGGCAGCTATTTCGTCAGGGTTTATGCGGGACTTGGAAACAGTGCTCCTGTTGTGGCGGTTGATCACATCCTGCAACATGTCCTTCCGAACCTTGCGTGATCCTGCCATCACCTTGGCATTCACAACCTTGTCGAACCTTAAGGTCCACAGGGAACAGCATTGGCATTGGCATCAACAACATACACTCACTCACCACAAAGAGCAATCATGGACACACTTAGACCCAGACAGAAAGTGCATGTTAATGATCGAGGGCCTGCTCCTTGCGCTTGCATCTGTCTTGATTCGCAAACTCTCCATGGACTGCTGCTCGACAGAGGACTGAGGACTGCAGGTGCCGAAGATACCTGTCACATTTCTGCTACACTTTTCTTTCAATGTTGAAATTGAAACACAACCTTAAATTCACACTGAAAGTCTTAATTAACCTGTCACTGTTTCCATCACATCCCAGTTGCAAATGCAGCTCATCAACCGGACTGACACGTCCTTCTTGACATGGTCTGGGACTGCTGGACTGTTCAACCAATCAAGCTTCATGGCAGCATAAATGAGAAGGTGGCATGCCATGGTGACAGTCGACCCAATGCTGACTCCAAGACTGAAGGGCTCGACCGGTGAGCCAGGAACCGGAGAAGCACCACTCGGTTTCCACGCAGTTGGCCAATCGAACAGAATCTCCAAGGGAAACTTGTGTGTTTCACACCCCATCCCAGTCATGAACTTCTGCATGTTGTCCCGAACTCCATGGAGTTGTGGAGCCCCCTTGACATGTGAGGCTTCATGACCCCCCAGCTGCCAGATTCTCAAATGGAACCGCTTCAACATCTTGCCTTCCTGGAACTCTGTGGGACTGGGGACTGTGGACTGGACTGAGGACTGAGGACTGCTGCTTGCCTCAGTTCCAGCCACTGCTTCACAGCGAGCCAGGAGTTCCTCGATGTGTCTCTGGTGGGCCAACCTCTCCCCATCGGAGCAGAGCTTTTCTGCCATCCATTCACAGACATCTGTGTATTTTGCCTGGTTGTCTGCAGTCTTCACATCCAGCTCTGCTTTGAGGAGATTCATAGCCTCAGCAAACAATCCATGAAGCTGTTGCTGATTCGCAACAGGTTCTGTATCCATGGCAGGCCCACAGGTTCTCACCTAGAGGACTGCAGGACTGCAAGACTGCCCTTTAAAGTCCTTTCAGCCAAGGGCCACACACACAACACACAAGAGAGGAGCTTGCACCAACAGGGAAGCATAACAAAACCATTGCAGCAGTGACTTCATGTGCAACACTCATAAACCTTTTATTGTTCCGGTTCCCCTGCTAACATCGATGCTGACTGTGAACTGAATGGACTCGGGATCCTGGTCTCCTCTGCCACCAATCCCAGCATCTACAAGGCTCAAGACTCAATATTAGAGCTAGTTAGAGCCACATATGCAATGTTAAGGAATCCCCTTCCAAATCAACTTGCATCACTGCAGCCAGTTCAGGCTTCGGCTGATGCTATAAACCAGTTCTGCTCAATTGCTCAGCAAAGTCCACATTCAGCACAACCCAAGGAATCCATTACTGCCTTAGGCAACTTCCCATTATACCTGAACAACCATTACACACTGCAGGACTGCAGACTTTGCCACAAAGCTGAGCAGCCTATCACCTGCTAGTAGATCAGTGATCATCTATGCACTGTGCACACCCCTCGGAAGAGCATGGAGGGCTGATTCCTCTACTTTGCTACTCAAGGCTGGTGTTCAAGGAGCAGAGTGCAGTCACTCATCTATTCAGGTTAAGACCAGATAGTCTAGCCACAAAATGCAAACACTCAGCCCAGCCCAGTCTTCCGAATCCACCGGAATTGTCACAACAGACAGAAGCATTAAAACTCAGTCACCCAGCCACTTCAGACTGAGGACTGAGCACTGCTAACATGCTGAGTCCATTGTGGTATCCAGAGCAAACTGGACCGGAAATAATGTCAAAACTCAGCCCCAGATGTTCCAACAGTCACTTAGGACTGAGGACTGAGGACTGCAAAACATTTTCAGTACCCCATCTGCCTCTTGAACTCTTGGAGGATCTGGACTGTGGTCTTGTCCGGGTCTGCAAGAGAGAAGAAGAGACGCTCATTCTTCTCACTCCATTCCGACGGTGGGACGTAGGTGTAGAACATGTTTCTGCGCACAGTCCACAGCTCAGCGCCGGACGCATTCTTGGGCTTGTAGCGCCCAGCAAAAGTGTGCTTCATTGGCCACTGCACACCCACGTTCTTGTTGTGTACAATATCCAATGCATCCTTGTCTGACTTGGTCGGACTGATCTCGGAATCGGGAGCATCCTCCTTCTTGTCCTCCACAAGCTTGGCCTTGTCGTCGTTGTCCTCCTGGTGCTCCATGGCATCCTTCATGTCCACATCCTTCTGCATGTCAACATCCTGCTCCTCCATGGGCTCAGTCTTGCATCTGTCGATGAAATCCTCAGGGTGCTTCTCTGCAGCTGTGCTTTGCAGCTCCGTCACATCGGCCATGTTCTGGGTATCCACATCCTGCATGCAGCGAATCAACAACTTCTGGGCTGGTGAGGTCACAATGGCAACAAACTACTGCTGGTGAGGGAACAATTGCAACAAAGTACTGTCCTGTATGCGGTTGGCTGATGTCGAAGCTGCAGCCGGTCTTTTCATCACAGCAGCAGGGCGCTTCAGAGGCTGTCCCTTTGCCTTTGCCTTTGCCTTGCCCTTTGGCCAGCCTTTTTTCTTGGGCTGCTGGACTGTGGAGTCTTGGGTTGGGAGGACAGGGTCAGTCTTGGCTTGGGATTTGGCCTTGGCCTTTGCTCTCTTCTGCGCTTTGGCCTCGACCAAGTGGAGTGGGGAGGCCCCAACATCTGCAGAGGGACTGAGGACTGCCAGACTGCCTTGCCCAGGGACTGCAACACCGGCCTTGTCTGCAGCAAGCACCTCTTGACTTGTGATCTTGCCAAACAGGACTCGAGGTTTGACAGGTGATACCTTCTCACCTGTTGGTGGGTCGGTCACCTTCGGTGGATTCACACCTGGGGTAACAGTCTCAGCACCAGGGGTATCACCAAGCATCTGAGTGTCTCCCTCTTCATCCTGGGGCCACTCAACAGCAATCCCTTCGTCGGACTCTTGGCTCAATGCCAAAGAAGCTGCCATGAACCCACCGAACATGGTGGTGACACAGCAGGACTGATGAGGACTGCAAGACTGCAAGCCTGGGCTACACACTCACCTTGATTGAATCATGGCCAGGAAGCAGTCATCACTGAAGCAAACAACTTCATGGCACTGTGCATGCATGCACAACACACAGACACAGAAAAAAAAACACAAAACTCATTCCAGGGTCCAGTCATTTTTCCACACACAGAGACACCGAACAAAAGTCAGCAGCCTGCCCATGGATCATCCTCTTCGAGTCCATTCGGCAAAGACAGTGTTGCACCGGAAGGTGTAGCACTGGGCTTCTTCATGGCTTTCATGGCACACACCTTCTTGGTCTTTGCTTTGGACTTGGCTTTGGGCTTGGCTGACTTGGCTTTGGATCGAGCTGCCGGCTTCTTCGAAGGAGCAGAAGGTTCAGATTCTCCCCAAGGATCATCAGCTTCAGGTTCTTCACCAAAAAGGGCTCGAATTTCATCAATTCTCAAATCTTCCCATTTCTTTGCAGGTCTGGCTGCAGCATCAACAGCAGGACTGAGGACTGCAAGGCTGACATCTGATACAAGACTTGGCAAAGGATGCTTTCTCTCCAGTAGACATGGCTTTGCATCCGGAGCAAAACGGGCCAGCCAAGCAAGCACAATTGATTCACCCAGTGCTGCTGGGTAAAGACCACTTGCCTTCAGCTCAGTACTTCCACTCTTCTTGGTCTTTCCATCCTTATCTTTTTTCTCACCCATCAATGCCAAGTGGCTCTCTTTACAGGTGCAACGACTGTGCACTGCGGCTTTGAACCAGCATGGACTGAGGACTGCATGACTGGGGTGCAAGCACATGAACTTGTACCTTTTGCCATACGTAGGTCTCTCGGTCACAAAAGCGCAGCGGTCAACCAAGAAAAACTGAGGACTGAGGACTTTGTCGAGTGCCATGATGTGTTTCTTGAGGAATGAAAACAAAGTGGATCCCACAGGATTCTCCAGACACACATATATTCCTCGTGCTGCTGCAAGACAGTAAAGGAAGAATGCCACCTCAGCCATGAAATTCCCCTGTCTGACAGTGGGATTGCTTGTATCTCCTGCAAAATTTTGCTTGGTGCGCTTGGTCTTGCTTGTGCATGCCCAAGAGAAACTGGAACAATCGGGTGCAATGCACATCAGGCCAGCTTCCTGCAAACGCATAACCAGCCGAACTGCCTGATGAAAGCCAGCCTCTGTCAAAATGTCCCCCTGCCCCGGGTTCATGTAGTCGAAACTGGTTGCACTCAGCCCTCGTGTCTCTGCTGCCTGGACCAATGTTTTGGATACACTGAATATTTCCAAGACCTGAAGATCACGAGTACCCTGGCTAAACAGTTGTGACTGGAGAACTGCATCAACTGACAATCCGAAGATCACCAGCCCACATGTCCTTGCAAGGTTCTGGCCAGTCTGCATGTTTGCGTCCCTGCCAGACTGCTTCACAGCAGGACCGAGGACTGCAAAACTGGGCTACACACTCACCTTGATTGAATCACAGCCAGAAAACAGTCATCACTTCAATGAAGCAAACAACTTCATGGCACTGTGCATGCATGCACAACACACAGACACAGGAAGCAGTGCTACAACACTGACATGCAAGAACAACTGAATCTGGAAACTGCTGCACTGCTCAATGTTCCAACTTGGCAGCCATTTGTGAATGCTGAACAGCAAAGTCATAACCATCTTCAGTTTGCAACCGACATGTCTCTGCAATCTTGGCAATCAGGACTTCAAGACAGCAATACTGCTGGACTGCAAGACTGTAGGACTGCAAGAGTGTAAGACTGCAAGACTGTCGGCTCAACGGTGCACCTTGGCCATCAGTCTCCAGCAGGACTGAGGCAAATATGGCAATTGTGCAAAGCCTTCTGGCTCTGCACCGAAAAGTTTGGGTTCTTGTTTCAGAAACTCCAAAGGATGCACTTCATAGCGCCTCACAAGAACAAGGGCTGTCAAAGCCTTGCCAGCTTCTATCATGCCATACTTGTTTGCCAGATCTGCCAATCTAGAGAAAGTCTCAATCTGAAGGGCAGACAGCTCAACTGCAGTATGAACACCACGCGGGACAGTGGGCTGGACTGCAGCAATCTGGGCCATGGTGGCAGCCTTGAGGGGGGGCTGGCTGAGGTTCAAGTCACGAGAGTACATTTTGACGCACACATAGACTGCTGTCCCATCCAAACTCTCTTCCATCAGCTGCCTGTGCCTCAAACACATTGTATCACCCAGAATCATTGTGAAGCAGTGAGGCACTTCTGGGAGGTTTCCTGTCCGTGCAAGCGGATGCTTCCACCCTCTCTGTCTCAGTGCATTGTACAGTGTTACACCCAAGGGCTGGAGCCAATTCTCGAAATCTCGCACTCCTGTCACATGTCTGGCAGAAATTGTTCCTGGTCGTTGAGCATGAGAACTGGTCTCCAAACCTCAGTTGCATAAGCTTCTGCCTTTTCGGGACAATGCAGTAACCTAGCCAACAAGCAGTGCCAAACCACCATTCTATTTGGGAGCAAGCAGCAGGACTTGATGTGTTGCAAAATCTCATCCGGAGTTTCCCAGGTTGTTTTCTTCTTCAGGTACGAATACACAACTGCAAAAAGCTGATCCAGGTCTTCATGTGTGTGGCCAACCATGAGCTGAAACAGAGTCACTGATTTGAAAATCTTACGGCCCACAAGGTAAGACAGAAATCGCAGCACATACTGGTTTTTGGCTGACTTTGTGGTGTTGTCAGCCACTAGCACCAGATGAGATGGCCAGGACTGAGGACTGCAAGACTGCCAAACCTGCTCCAATGTCTGACAGAGGACCTCCAAAAAATAGTCCGATCCCCCCACAACTTGCGGGCCAGCCATATACAGGTAGGTGCCCCATCCATGGGCATATGCACCTGTAAATGTGACTGTTGGTCGTATCAATCCATCCAACTCATGTGGCTGCTTGCGAAACTCCCACCGTGGCCACGCAAACTTGCTGTGGTCCATGTCATCGATGATGACAGTGAGAACTGTTCCTGACTGCAAGGGCTGCTTGGAGTGGATGGACTGAGGACTGCAAGACTGTGCCTGGATGGTCGAAGCAAAGGGCTGCTGGGACTGGCTGGACTGAGGACTGCAAGACTGTGCCTGGATGGTCGAAGCCCATCTCAGGGACCAATACAGGAGTCGATCCTGGTATTGATCCTTTTGATGCTGCCGCAGCAATTTTGCAATCTCCATCTTGCGAGCCCAGGACACTTTGGGGTTATGCAAAATCTGCTGCAGGTCAAAGCATCGCTGGCACTGCTTGTGCTGACTCTTTTCTCGCATGCGAATCATGTTGCTCCAGTGGGAATTCCACCTGCGCCGAAAGGTATCATAGCTGGGCAGCTCTGCACCATAGTGTGGGTGCAGCTCAGTCAAGGCAGACCATTCAGCTTGAAACTGCCAATACAGATCAGAAATCTGGCACTTCTGAATGTAGCGTCGCTGCAACCCACCATAGACTGCAAGACTGGAGACTGTGAGTGGTGTGGACACATGGCCATAGAGAGTATCCTGCCATGGACAAAAATCTGAAACTACGTGACAAGTTGTCCTACTGATGCAACCACCTCTCACAAGAATCACTTTCAACAGGAGTCCTGTTCCCACGGGTCCTCCACCGCTGCTTCATCATCTTCTGGCATACATTCTGCAACGGATTGGTGCAGCTCCCTGAAGAAGTGGTCACACTTCAATGTTGCAAGGGCTTCGCGCTCTTGACTGCCCCACTTGGTCTCACCACTGACACCTTTCTTTCGCATGTCCGGCTGTCCAGCTATATATTTTCTCATTGTGGTCTGGCTGCACCCTAGCTTCTTGCAAAAATTACAGAAGCAAACACGTGAGGATCCAATGTAGTACTCAGTAGACTTGCCAGTCCCATCACCATAGGTGACCTGAAGGAGATGAACCCTTTCCTCTGCAGTGATACTCCAGAAGTCCCGGCACAAGTCTTGGAGGGACTTCAAATGCAGTGCCCGGGGTGCACAACCTTCAAGTTGGCAGTTGGCACGGGGACATTTTTGAGCCCATCGAAGTCGAACCCTGTCTGTGTCCATTGCAGCAATCTCATAAGAATTGGAGTGAGTCTTCAAAGTGGACTCTGCCAGTAAGCGACTGCCCGAATCTAACGACACATGCCGCCCACTCGACTGCACAGACTCCTCAACCTCATGACCCCATGGATCTTCAGGGACTGAGGACTGAGGACTGCAAGACTGGGCCCATGGGTCATCCTCTTCAACCACAAATTTCCAGGGATCTTCGGATTGCTCATCGACTGGATTCCAAGCAACAGCAGAAGATGCATTCCAGGGATCAACATCAGCTGGAACTTCTTGCTCAACCACTCTCTGCTTCTTGGCAGGCTTCTTTTTAGGTCGCCTGACTCTATGCTTGGGCATAATGCTACCCAATGCAAAGTATCTCCAGAGCTTCTTTTGTCATGTAACATGGAGAGCAGTATCGGATGTAGCACACAGATTCAGAACTCAATTTTCCGGATCTCCACACTGCACTGTGCCACTGCAGGACTGCTGGACTGCAGGACTGCTCGAATTAAGAATTAAATCATGAAATTTGAAAGTGATCGGATCTACTTTGAATTATCTGCAAGGTCTGCCGATTTAGCTTTCAAACGTTGCAATCTCTGTGCTTTTCTAAATGCCCGTAAATCTCGGGCTGCAGACTTCTTCACCTGCCTGACTTCCTCTCGAGCAACAACAAGAGGATGTTTTTTCCACAATGCAGCCACATACTTCAAGGAAAAACCCCTAGCCCTATGGGTAGCATAGAATTTCAGACGTTGCTCCTTCGGAGACAGACCGGACATTGCATTGTCCAGCAGATCATCATTCTCTGCGGAAACTTCCTCGCATGCATGCCTCCCTTGTGCTTTCCATCTTCTCAATTTGCGCTTCAGACTCTCCTGCGACATGCAGGACTGCACATCTTTACAAAGAGGCTGCTGATTTGGACAAGTCCTACTTGTGTCCTGTACACAAACTCGATCACAAAAGGCTGCTTTGGGCTCCACTTTTCCAATCATGTGCGGTGGCGTCGTGTCGGTCAGAATCTGCATCATGCCACCGAACATTACCTTGGCTGGGTGTCTGAGGATACGGTTTGCAGTGGTGGGGCAGGACTAAGATTCAGGCTTCATTTGTGGTCCGGTGACGACAGCAACATCAGGCCTGAGTTCCCGAAGCCCTTAAGGTCAGCCGGACACCTTAAGCACTTCGGGAATCTAGGGCTAGAAGCCCGAAGCTCTTAAGGACAGATTGGATTTCCCGAAGTGCTTAAGGNNCCTTAAGCACTTCGGGAAATCCAATCCGTCCTTAAGAGCTTCGGGCTTCTAGCCCTAGATTCCCGAAGTGCTTAAGGTGTCCGCCTAACCTTAAGGGCTTCGGGAACTCAGGCCTGATGGTGATGTCGGCCGGTCGGGAACTGGAATCATTCCTACAAGGATTGGGACTGCTGCTGCTTCTGCAACTACAAAGGAGAATTGTTGCCACTACAGCAACTTCATAGTGAACTGAAAGCCTAAATACTGTGAACCCATTACTCCAACGATTGCCGAGACTGTTTCATTCCTGCCTGAGGTTCGTAGAGTTGCTTCTGTGCCATTGAGTGATGTGGCAGCAGCAGTGCTCAGCAAGAGCAGTGTTGTAACAACAGCAGCAGTTGTGCTCATAGTAGTAGCCAGTAGTACTAGTAGGAGCAGTAGAAGGAGTAGTAGAAGTAGTAGTAGTAGTAGTAGTAGTAGTAGCAGCAGCAGCAGCAGCAGTAGCAGTAGCAGGGGGGTTTGGGGTTTAAATGGTTTAAAGGGTTTAGCACTATTTAGTAATTTAGGGTTTAGCATAACAGTAGCAGTAGTAGTAGTAGTAGTAGTAGTAGTAGCAAAAATGCAGTAGTAGTAGTTGTTGTTGTAGCAGCAGTTGCAGTGGTGGTCCTGTGGTACTTGCAGATGAGGTTCTTGTAATGCATGATGGAGAACCCTAAACCCTAATTCTTAAACTCAATCAAATTAAACCTTAAACCCTAAATACCCTAAACCTACAATGTGACTCCTGTGACAGGGGTTCCCTGCCTCCTGCTGCTGCCGAGCTGCTGCCGGGAAGTCGAGAGCCACACTCGGCGCAGGCAAACCTGGATTGGGAATGACAGGAATTTCAGCAGGTAATACTTAAATCCCGGAGGCCCCGAGTAATTCTGGCAATCCTACACAGACACCCAGCAGTGCAATCCTGAAGTGCCGAACCCGATGTTCAATTGCAAAGCCGAGCAGCTGTCGTTTTGCACGATCCACCCAGTGTCACTTCTACCTGGCTTTAAAATCTTAGGGTGTGTTTGTTTTATGGTTCACATAGGAATCAGGGTTTTCATGGAAGTATCAATTATTTTTGAGTGTTCCTAGGCTCAGAATATTCGGTCCAGAACCACTACTATTCCCTACTCTAGTCAGGCTCAATCTCATTTGTCAACTCAAATAACTGTTGTACTGACTGAATCACTGAATGAATCTGAATCCAAAACCATGGTTTGGTATTGATGCCTCAAAGTTCCGAGCTCTAAGACCCAGAAGATAAGTAGGACTCATAATCTTCCTACCTAAACCCTAAACCCTAAACCCTAGGCTACCTATCCGAATGTGTAAATCCCATCCCATCTTTGACCCCGGAACCCTAACTATCCCTGGGTCTCTCTGGAATCCTAGATCATTTCAACCCTGAAACTAGTGAAGTGTCTTTGCTTCCAAATTCCGAAAAGCCAAGTCTTAGTAGTGGCCCAAAACATCTCCCGAATGAGACCAAAGAACTACCCAAAGCCTAATAACTTAATTAAGACAAGTCAAGCTTGAATTTATCACCCTAAGACCCCCAAAACCCTGCTAAACCCTAAACCTCAAATTAAACCCTAAACCCTGCTATCTAGGCACCTCGGTGATGCCGCCTGCGCGAATGGACTGCAGGACTGAGGACTGTCCTGCACAGACTGCAGCACCCTAGCCCCAAACCCTTCTTAATAGCATACTCAACATTTCACAGACCGTGAACCAGTACTCTTCAAATAGACATGACTAGTTTGAGATAGGACTGCACGGGATAATTGTCCTCGGAGTCAGGACTTCACCGGCTCGGCTGCATCAGGTGCCGGAAACAACGCCTGGGTTTAGGGTTTATTAAGGGTTTAAGGGTTTTGTTGGGGTTCAGAGTTTAGAGCTGGGTTAATTCAGGGTTTAAGGGTTTTGGTAGGGTTTAGGGTTTCAGGCTCGTTTGCAGCATTGTTGCAAGGGCTTTGATCTGGGGTTTCTCTCACTGTCACAGCTTAGTGCATTGGCATGATTGGACTATCGAGGGAAGAACTCTTCAATACATATGTAGTAAGGGTTTTAGGGTTTAGGGGTGTAGTGTGGTTTAGGAGAACTCTATATAACTGAGGCTCCTAGAGATGGTGGCCCTAAAAGAAGTTACCTCAGGCAGCCCATGCAAGCCAACAATTCCTTCCAACAAACACCTACTATACTAAGCCTAAGAAATGAATTTAAACCTTAAGCCCTCAACCCTAAAGCCCCAAACCCAACCCTGGACACAAAAACAATCCTCAACCTGATGTGCTTTGGGCCAGCAACAACCCTAAACCCTATATCCTATTTTTGTTAAACCCTCAGCCCTAACTAAACCCTAAACCCAACCTGTGACTTGGCTTCGATAAACCCCACTGTACCTGAAGGTGCCCTCGATCTGTCATGCAGTCCTGCAGTCTGCCAGGGCCCCAGCCACCGAAGGGCAGGCACAGCAGCCAAACAAAATCTTGTTTCAGCATCATTGAGCCATTGTGGTAAGGGACAGCAGGACTGCAGGACTGCAGGAAACATGAGACATGGCATGCCACTGACTGCTATCCTTGTGTGTGACAGCAGAACTGCAAGACTGTAGGGCATGTCAACACAATCAGGTCACTGCAGTCCACCACTTCTGCCTGCCTACGAGTCAGGCCCGGACCAAAATCACAGGGCAGCAGTAGTAGCACCTGGCACAGGCTGAGTTGAAAGGATTTTACCGCGCAGATTAAGATTTGGGCCTGAGTCCGGGGATTAGTGTGATTGGGGATGCACCTGCATTGCAGTCGGCACTCATGATCAGTGTTGCAGCACTGCACACCCTCAGTGTTTAGGGTTTAGGGTTTTGTTTGGGTTTAGGGTCCCTGAGTGCTGCACCTCCATGTGGTAGGTGATGGTGCACCGCAAACCAGCTTCCTGCACAAGGCTAATTAAAGGGTTTAGGCAAAAACGGTATTTAGGGTTTAAATTTTAGGGCTCATTTAGGGTTTAGGGCCAAGTGCAGGGTTTAAGGGTGACAAAATCCACTAACTATGTAATACCTATTAAACCTCCAAACCCTAAACCCTAAATTAGGAATTTAAGCTTGTGTATTTCTGCCGGAGCAATTAAATCCACACCATAGACAGGTCCTTCCTGACCCTATCCCGAAACCTAAACCCTAAGCCACCCAAAACCTTTAGGGTTTAGTGGTTTAGGGGTTTAGGGATTAAAGGATTTAATTTAAAAGGCTTTAAGGCTTTGGGTATGGAACAATTTGAGCCCCAACTGGCATTTAGACCCCAACTATTAACCCTTTAAACCCTAAACCCTAAACCCCTAAACCCCTAATCCCTAAACCCTAAATTTTAAACCCTAAATCCTACACCCTAAACCCTAAATACCTTTACTTATCGACCCTGCTTGTGCCTGCAGGCTCAGCTGTGGCGATGAGCAGGCACCTCTGGGGTGCAGGACTCAGTTGTTTAGGGTTTAGGGTTTTAATTTAGTGTTGAGGGTTTGGGTTTAGGTTTAAAGGTTGAGGTGCTTAGGGCTTACAGGGCTTACTTAGTGTCTGAGGTGTAAAACATAATTGAGTGACATCAGGCTTTCTAGGGATTAAACTTTAACCACTGGAAAGCCCTGCATGTTCAAAACATAATAAAATGAATCTTCTGAGTCTAGAGTTTAGGGCTTGGGGTTCAAAGTAGGGGCTTATCAGTTAATAAGACACTAGATGAGCCCACAAAATCCTATTCTTACTGGTCTGAGTTGAATATTCAGTTGACATGTAATTCTGCAACGCAGATCCCTTCAACCTTAAACATATTATTTCTATTCTACAGTGTTCATGTTATTTGTTGAGATCCATCCTCTAACCCTGCAATACTGAATACATACCTAAATCCTGTTCTTAACACACCATTCGAGAACTACCCATTAGGTTTTTGGCCACCCTAAACCCTTACTAAACAATGGATCATGATCATCCCTAAATGATGGCAAACAATGTAGACACAAACCTGACTGGCTAAATTATTATCTTACAACCTTACACCCAAGGCCCATTCTCAAACTCAGCCCTGAAACCCCTGCTCTTGCCTCGAGGCTCTTCATCCTGTCTCCAAAGTGCAGGCGCGGCCTGAACACAGGGTTCTTCTGGTTTAATAGGGCTTACTTAGAGTCTCGGGTTACAGATTGAAACATTTAAGAATTGAATGAGTCATTAGGCTTTCTAGGAGTGAGAGGTAAAGCCTGAAACACTACTAAGCCCTCCGTTTTGGGTTCGGTGTTTAGGTTTAGGGTTCAGGGTGTAGGGTTTAGGGTTCAGGGTTTAGGAAAATTTGGGGTCTAGGGTTGTAGGGTGTTCAAACCTCAAACATGAGCTTTAAGGACACTGTTGGGGTCTAGGGATTAAGGAGTTTAGGGTCTGTGGCTGTGGATAAGCCAACCTAACCACTTAATAAACTTCTTATTGTGAACAAACCCTATTAATCCTGTAAATCCGTAAATCCTTCAGCCCCTCTAAGCCGAACACACAACACTTACTTGAGACTACAAGCTTAATGAGCAATTAGTGATACCCCACATCCATGCAACCTTAAAACATGGCTATCCCGATTGGTAGCCAATAAACCTTGCCTGCAACATGGAATAATGTATCAGGATTATGCCTTTATGAGCAAAAAAACAAGTTAAAACTTGCTAAAAGAACCTAAGCTAACTAAAACACACTGAGATACTACAAGAAACCCTGCAATGCCTTCAAGGCAATG